TATCTGGTATCTAGCCATTTCCTTGCATTGTTTATCCTTCTATTTACTTCTCTTCTCATATGCTAATCTCTCGATCGACAATCTAAAAATAGCCTTTTACTCCGTGCTAAGGTCCTAGACCTATTATTCATATTTATTTAGTTTGTATTATATATATGTTTTATATTATATATATATTTCCTATTATTAATACATTATTATTTTTACATTAATTATTATCTGCCCAAATGACATAGATATTTTGAGAGCTTAAATTCGCAACATTTTAAACTGAAATTGTTTTTCATGCAACTTTCAACCAATTCACCCAATCAGCATAAAGTTTATTTTGGGATGCATATATATATGTATATATGTATATATATATATATTTTTTTTTATAATAAATTGCACAACATTTAATGTCCGCGCATAATTGAACAATATTTTTTTTCTCTTGTAAGTGAGCCAACATTCCTACAGCCAGAGCACGCAGTGAATGCATAAATATAAAAAAAAATATAAAAATAAAGCAAAAGAAGAAAACTGCAATACTGAAAAATTCGCTTTAAAATCTCTTGGCCATTAAAGAAAGGCAACAGCAGCGCTGGCCAAATACAATAACAAAACACAAATCTACAGGCTGGAAATATATTATATTGTAATATAATTTCTCGAGCGTAAATCTAATTTATCAATTTGTGTGTGCAAAAAAAAAAAAAAAAAAAAAGGAAAAAACCGATGCCGACGAGCAAGCGCAAAATCGAATAAAAGGCAACAAAATGATCAAAAGAGGAAAAAAAACTTGAATCGGCCGCAACATTTGCTGCCAAATCAGAGAATTGGACAGAGAGCGTGTTGCAAGTGCAGAGGACGAGTGTGTGTGTGTGTGTGTGTTTGTTAGTGTGTTAGTGTGGGAGAGACATAACTCCCGTTAGCTTCTGCTCTCTATATAAAACGTGCCGCAGGCCCTGTGGTAATTGGCAATAAATGTGTTCATGAATTTTAATGTTGGTTCCATGGTCAGCGTCCCAGCCACGCCTCGCCACCGCCTCTGCCCTCTCGCTTACTAAACGAGGTTACAAATCGAGCCACGCCTACGGCCCGACATAACTCATAATATTATGCCAGCTGCTTTTTTGATTTTTCTTTATTTTGCCTTCGGTTTTTTTTTTTTTTTTTTTTTTTTTTTTTTTGTGGTGCTTAGCCTTTGGCTGGAATTTAATGTAATTTGATTTTGGCCAACGCACAAATATTGAGATTTATTTCATTTTGAATTGTGTGGCGAAAACAAAAACAGCAGCGTGGCCGGCCATCAAATCTAATACAATTGAGTTGCTGGAATCAGAAAGTAAATGAATACATTTGCACAGCATGTAACTCAATAGGCCAACAAAGTGCAGAGTAGCCCTCGCTCCGCCCTGCGTCCCTCTGGGAAGTTCAAAAACAAGGCCAGATAGCGCGGCTCGACCACTTCCGTTCGCAGTCGACATGGAGTAACTTTTCGGTTTGATTTATCATATTCAATTACAAAAGTAGCGCACGTATTAAATGGCCGCATCCGCCACGCCCCCCACCCCCTACCGGCAGGCCACTGTCCCGTGCGGCGTATGAGTAATTTGGTTCTGCGAAGCTTAAGCCACTTCTTATGTGACTTGCTTGGCTGACTGCTTCCGGCATTCTGTTTGCAATCGCATACGCAAATGGCCGCAACGATTGCTCAGTGTTTAAATAGCACGAAAAGCGACTGGGCAAAAGTAACCAGAGAAATATGCACGCTGAAAGCCGATATCAACAGCTACTTTAGGGCCAAATGGGCCACACTCTCTCTCTCTCTCTCTCTCCCTACCTCTCTGTTGCTCTGTTCCTCCCGCCCCGTCCCATTCGCATGCAGCGTGTGCTCGAAGGGCAATGCTAAGCGGCGGCCCAGAACGCAAACAAAGTTTGCCAAAGTCCAAATGGAGCGTGTAGAACGTCAGCTGGCAGCGCGGCTAACTTCCATCTAACTAAATGTATCCGTCTCTCTGTCTATTTGCGAGTGTGCGAGTGTGCGTGTGTGCGTGTGTGACTATGTGTGTGTTTTTGAAGGCGTGGCTTGCGAGCAGCCTGGCTACAATTCAGCAGTTGCTTTAACGAGTTTGACAGATGCTGACTTCTGGTTAGCCGCGGTCTCCTTCCGCCCCTCCCACTCTCTGCCTCTCACTTCAGAAACTTTTCATTTTAAGCTGATTAATTTTTGCTAAGCGAACTTTTGTTGTTTGAAATTCGTTATTAAAGTAGAACTTTTGGTTTTTTCAATAACTGTCAAAATATGAATGCAATTGAGATTAATGATAGTTGGATTTAAGTATTTCAGGAAAATAACTCAATAGTTGTATACTTATTCTATATTTAATCATACTAGTAATATTCGATATTTTATAATTTGATACCTTATATATTTTATTTTATTATAAGTATTATTTTGAATTCAATCAATTTTATTAAATAACGTAGTATATTTTATTATTTATTATTTTAAAAATTACATAATTTTTTTTTATTTATTTCTATTTATTGTTTCTATTATTTTTTCATTGAAACTACATGAAACCAAAATATTTATTAAAAAGCTCTAAAAACTTTCAACAATTCTTACTTCGTAATGCATGCCTGTTAAAGCTACTGCTAAAACTCTTCTTGGAATGTTCTTTATAAAATTATTATTTATCATGATGTATGAAATTTTTATCTTAATTTATTTAAATATTAACATAGTTGCCAAAAAACATTTACTGTGCTGCATAATCAATCATTTTTTGTTTGCTCAAGTATTTTTAATCTTATTATTTTTTTACTATGTAAGGCCTATCTCTTGAACCCACTACCCACATAAAATCAGAGAACAGCGGGAACAACTTTATCGTGCCTAACGTCATTTGCTTAAGTTTTAATTTTTCACAGCTCTGGCAAAAGAAAATTATGGCGATAAGCAGAAATTGCAACTGCATTTTCGGCGAACATGCCTTACTTTTAAATGCACTTTCGAATTTCATGGCAACTCAGGCTACAGAACTAAATTGAGCATGCCACAAAAAGAGACAGAAAAAGTTGGGAATGTAAAAATAAAGTAGATTTTTGCTTCTTTTTTTCGGATGGAAGCGCAACAGACGTAACTTAAGAAAGCGTGCCCTTCTATCATTTCGGCAAGGCTGAAGTCGCAGTCGACTGTCGGCGGCGACTGTCGCAATTTTTCACTTTTACCGCAACAACTTTGCAAAAATATTACTCAGCCGGTCGCCCAGCAGCCATATTCTGACAGCAAATCCGATGTGCACAATGCACACAAGGTGCCGACGATGAGCCGGAAACTTGACAGTTGCTGCTCCTGCTGCTGCCTCAGTAAAATGAAAAATATGCTGCACATAAATCCTGCGGCTTTCCCATTTTCCGGCAATGCCAGCCTGCACAAAGCCAAAGGGCCTGAAAAAAAATATGTATATATGTATAAAATAAATAAAATACGAATGGAAGGAAAATGGTTATGAAAAATCAAAAAGGAAAATTCCTTTTGAAATTACATATGCATGTCTCATGTTGCAGTAGCTGTTGCTACTGTTGCACACGCATATGCAGAGCACTCAGGCAAATGGAGTGTGATTCAATAGAGTGCAAGGGATAGAGAAAGAGCTAAAGAGGCAGAGGGCGCACAAGCTGAGCGCATTATAATTTCGGGCTTATTTTGGAGTTCGCTTCTTTAACCGCATTGTGTGCTGCGGCTAATTTATGCAGAGTCGCGCTGCACTGCGCTGTGCTGCGGCGAGTGCCACGAGACCACCGCAGTTTATCGCCAAGCGCACAAGTGTCCAGAGATGGTGACCACAAATCACTGAGGTCAAACATGGCGTATACGCAACGCACAGCCGGCCAAACACTAACATGTGTAAAGTAAAACAACAAACAGCAAACAGCAGCAGTGGCAGCAACAACAACAACAACAACAACAACAACAGCTACGATAACAACTACAACAAAAACTATGCGCAACTATGTCAACATATGACACCACGTTGATTTCAAATTGAAAGTCTCTGTGTGTTAGTGGGTGTGACTCTAGTGTGTGAATGTGTGTGTGTGTGTGCAAGTGCATGAGTTTGCGGTTTTATAAATAGATTAGCAACAGTGGAAATATAAAACAAGAAATAACAGTTATATACATTCATATATATATTTTTTTTTTTGGCTGTGGCATATTATATATTCAATACACTTACAGACCGTTTGCAGATTTCAAAAAAATAAATAAATAAAAAATAATAATGATAAAAAATGAAATAAACTACAAAATATATATATATATAGAAAGAAGAACAGCCACATGCGATATTGCATTTAATAAAATAAATACATTTTTTATTACACAAGTTATATACAATTGGGTAATTTTTTAAACATATACTTTATTATACAAAAAAAAATAAATAAAAATAAAATAAAAATAATAATGATAATAATATTTTAGATTTTAAAGACTATTGAAATAAGCATCATAGATTTTATGCAAAAATTTGTCATGCTGAACTCTAGCAGTTTTTACTTTTGTGCTGCTTTGGAACATGCTCCTCTTTGAAAATGAAAAGTAAAGTCGCTTTCCCTCCGTCTATTGAAATCACAACGAACTTGCCTGAAGATCTCTCCCATAAATAAAGTAAATACTTAAAATCGCATTTTCAAAAATTTATTAGCAAGTTTTTATATTTGTTATAAATATTTTAAAACTAAATGTCAATTCGAACAATTTATGTTTTAAATCAAATAAGACATCGACTCTTGTCAATGCTCAATCGTAGTGTATAAAAGGGAGCAAACAATGGTGACGCTCTAAAAGTTGAATGAGTTTTGACTGGGGCCAAGTGTTTGGCTGTAATGAAAACGCCCCGCTAATTGCCACTTGGCCAGAAACCACAGCCAACTTGAATATAATGAAAAATCTGTAAACAACATTTATAGAATTTTCCTCTTTTTTTTTATATCTATTTCAGATGCTTTTGAAGTGGCTGCTGTTCAGCCTGTGCATAATGCCGGCCATGTTCAGCAATACGAACAGAAAGTGCCCCGTCGAATGTAGCTGCAGCTTTGATGATATGGACCGCTATCAGGCCATCTGCACAAAAGGTAAGTGCCGCAATCTGTGCCAAAGGTATAGAGAACAAAATCCCGTAAATGGAGCAAAGCTAAATGTACGCAAATTATGCAATGCACGCGAACTGGTGCTGAGGTAAACCACGCAATAGCCCCATCATTAGGATAACATCATAATTGCCGAGCTGAACTTAACCGAGCTGAGCTGAGCCAGAGAGCAGCTCATTGCCCATATGAACATTAACGAGTATTTCCTCGATTCAAGCATGGACATTCTCTGTCTCTGCCCGCTTTTCTCTTTTCAACATTCTCAGACAATTTCTTTCTCTCAATTTCAATTTGCTCAACTGTCATCTGCCGTCTTGAGCAACGGAGAAATCTATAATTTCAATTTAACGCTTGTTTGGCTAGCGCACACATTGTAAGTCGTTCGAGTCCTTGAATGTGATGCCTTGAATGTGATGGCATTGTCGTTTTAATTTCATTTTCCAAATCTTCGGCACAATAAGTGCGGCACGGCTAAGCAGCCAAGCGACGACTGCCATTGGCAGTAAGACAACCAAATGGCTTTCAATTTGCCACAGATTATTTCAGCCTGAATTCAACATATTCTCGCTCTGCATATTTATGCCAATTGAAGTACTTTCGTTTATTTATTATACATATTTAATCTTTATTTTTATTATATGTTTATCTTAAGTTCTTTAATGTTTGTAGTTACACTAAACAGTTTTTGATTTAATTTGAGAATGTCATGGGCAAATGTTTTTTGTTTAGATATTTATTTTGTGTACTTTTTTTTCAAAATAAAATTCAAGACACGTCATAACGCAAATTTGAATAGAAGAGAAAATAAAATAAACAAAAAATAAACAAAAATTATAATTAAAGAAATAGAAAGGAAAACAACTTAAAATTAAACAAAAATCAATTAATGTGAATAAATTAATAAATGTATTTAATTTGATATACTTAAATCACCTAGAAGTATTATTAAGGCAGCAGAGAAGGGAAAAAATAAAAATCTTAACGTATTCCGAGCCTATGCGTATGCTCATAACTTATGCTACGATTTCTCACATAATTTCTCTATCAAAATATAAATTAGTAATCTGTACTTTCTCTAATTCTCGATGTATATCTACTCTATATTGCACTATGGGTCAAAAGCCCGTTTTTTTGGAATTAATTAATAACTTTTGAACTAGTCAAGATAATTAAATTTGTTTTTTTGCATTTGACTTTCGTTCGCAACACTCGTTTTTGGTGGAAAAAATGGGTGTGGCGCCGCCTCGCTTTCATATTATTAGATGTCATAACTTTTTTGCTGTTCTAAAGATCCTGTAAAAAAATTATCAAAATCGGTTAACTATATCATATAGTTTTTGTATGTAGAAGTTGACAAAAAAATGTTTCAAGGAATAAAAGGTTATATTTTATGATTTTAAGCACAAATAACATTAAAATATATCTCTTTTATTGTTAATCATCGTATTCTTCATTATCTGAAGCTAGCATGCCATAAACCTCAAAATTTTAAAATTCCTGCTTTTCGGAAATGCCTTTTTCCTCTTCCTCGTCTGCGACGAGGTTAGTTGCTGAAAAATTAAATTGCACAAAAAGTGCGCAAAAGTGCATGTTGAACTTATAGGTGTTAGCTCAGAATTGAATACTCTATAAAATGAGCGTAATTTCATTGCTACAAAGTGCTACAAACGCAAGTTTTCTCTTATCAAAGACAAAATTTTTTTTTTTTAATGATGTCAAAGACAGCATTTTGACTTACATAAAACTTCACATCACATACAGATTTTGGACAACACAAACACGTAAACATAAAGAACAAAGCCCAATTCCGTGTTTTCCACCAAAAATTTTTAATTAATTGTCATTATTTTGATTTCAATTGGCGATTGAAATTCATAGAAAGTTTTTTACAACATGATAATGTGCGTGTCATGCATAACAGCTCTGTTTAACAGCAGTTTAGTTAGCAGATCGCGCCTCTGTTAAAATTCTGAGTATGTAAGATTTACATATAGGGTATTCTTAATGGATTGGCATTAAAATTTTGTAAATTTTTTCAACTTGAAAATAAGACTTTTTTCCAAAAAATCGGGCTTTTGACCCATAGTGTATTGTCACCTCCTTAAAATTTAGCCCTTGGCATACAAAATTTGAATATACATATATCTTGTGCTTAATGCATTTTTATAGCTCTCATGGAGTTAATTCCAGCATATTATACATTTTATTATTATTATTATAACTTTTTTTTTTATAAAAACGCAAACGCTCTAAAAAGAGAACAAAGGCTAAAATATAAGCTGCAACGGCTAATGAGCAGCAACTTTTAGCTGAACTTCCAGGTCGTCACCCACAGCTCCCTCTCGCTGCCAACTATGTGTGGTGTAATGCAATAATACTCGTAAATGCCAACGAAATTGCAAGCGCGTTAAAATATGTTACAATCAGTGTTAATGCTTTGCATTTTATATGAAAAATACCAAAGTAAGAGCGAGAGAGGGGGAGAGAAAGAGAGAGAGAGATGGGGAGAGTGTGAGCAAACTGGTGCCTTATATAACAAATGCTGACCCCTACCCAAACATTACAATGGGCACACAACAAACGCACACACACACATATGCACACATACAGTTGCATGCAAGTATAATGCAGTGTGAGAATATAATAAAAGTCGACAGCGACTGCGGTAACACAATTGTATGCGATACTATATAGAAAAAAAAAATATATATATATATATATAAAAAAAAAAAAAAACTAGAGTGCGAGAGGGACCCTGTGCAGGATAAGGAAAAACTGCTAACTGGATGCTGCGTTGTTTCGCATAGAAAGTGCCAGGGATTTTTGGGTTGTGGCACACTAAAAGGCGAATATGGTTTGGCATGCAAAGCGGCGAGGACTCGTAGTTAATGATCCAGCTGGCATTGTTAACCACAGTTATTGTTCGCCGGTTGCATAAATTTTACTTTTATTGCTGGCATAAAATTCTAGTTGTAGTTGTCGTTGATGTAACGCTTAGCTGACCTTTATTTAATTGCATTTCTTTCGCGTTGCAGGTGGTTTGAGTTCGCTGCCAACAGCTAATGTACTGGACATCGATGTGAAGGTGATTATAATACGTGGACCACGCAACTCGCTGACAATTGGACCGGCACTGCGGCAATTTATGCAGCTGCAAGTGCTGCGCATCACCGACTCCAATTTGCCAGCGATTGGGGCCGAGTCCTTCTGGGGTCTTAAATATCTCCGGATATTAGGTGAGTAATCAATTCTTTACGGCCACCTACTAAAAATCGCCATTTGTTTTACGTGCGTGCGTAAAGCCAGCGAGCAAACAGGCAGCGATTTCAATTTAAGCAGCTGTGCATAGTTAAAAGAGCGAACAGCGCCATATGCAAATAATACAATCCAGCTGAAAGCTGCAGAGCTGCAAAGCTGGTAAGCACGCAGAAATCAGGCAACCGTTGCGGTCGTTCTGCACCCTCGTAAAAGCCAACGCAAATAAAAGTGCGCGTCGCAAAATGTTAAATGAGCGCAGTCGATGCGGTCGACGGCGTATGCTGAGTAACCCCATCGGAAAATGGCACAAATGTCAGTCTTAATCAAGTCCAGGGAGATGTACGCCCTTACACTATGAGGAATCTGCTATTAATTCAGATTATGTTTCATGTTATAAGAAAATGTTGACTTTAAATGGAAAGCAGACAATTGCAAGATATTGTACTTAGTTTTTATCTGAGATATTTCATGTAGATACTGAACATATATCTATGTTTCTTTTATCTATCAGTTTCGGAAAATGCATTTCAATGAATCTTGACACTTATTTTATATTTAAATCTGTTTTGGGATTCATTAATTTGACTTTAACTACAAATCTTGGCGTCTAATAACATTTTTGACACAAATTGAGATTAATATGTATAAATTGATATGATCTGGTAAATTTATTAAGTCCGTAGATATGCTTTTATTTCATACTAAATATCTAAACAATTCAGCTAACCGACAAAGAGCAGATATGTAAGAGTCACTCTTTGACTCGGTGTATACTGAAGCCAACAAATCAATTGCAAAAGAAAAACAATTTTCCATTTGTTGTCAAAAGAGTAGTCAGCCCTTCGATCTGACCAGAAAATGCTGGCTGCTTGTGTTTGTCAATAAAATTGAAATTGATGCGCCAAACAGTGAAAAGCGAACCGAAAAACCGACAAATAAAATAAGACTCGGCCAGAAATCAAAAGTAAAAGTCAGCCAGGCAATGCGTCGATATCGCTCAGCGCTTTTCCAACTTGTTTATTTGAGTTTTATGTCTGTTTGTGGAACGGGGCGCGTTGCCCTGGCTCTCCAATTATTTACATGCACGAATCTTTGTTTTTTTTTTTTTTTGCCATGAGCCCCTTGCCAAAAGTCAAAAGTCGACATAAAATACAGACACACACACATAAAGAACTTTAACATGCACAAAAAACACAAAGAACAAAGAAAAATCTTTTTGCTGCAGTTTAAAATCTTGCCTCTAGTCACAACAACAAATTGTATTCTTTTCGTTTCTGTTTTTTGTTCTCGTTTCTATTTAAATTAATTTCGGCAAATGTTTAAAATGTTTAAGTAGGCGTGGCACCCTGCAGCTACAGTTACTCTGTCGCCCCTAACAATGACAGCAAACTAGAGCCTTTCCCTGGCTTTCAACTACAAATGCTACTCAAGCTCCTCCAGACAATGGGGCGTATGTGTAATGTGTTGTTTTGTGCTCTGCACTCTGTGCTTTATCTGTTTGCAACTTTTTGCCTTAAATGGGCCAAGTGGAAATACTTTTGTGTGTGCTACGGCCCACATCCTGGTGTTTGTTTTAAAGTTTTCCCTTTGTTTTCGATTTGTCATTTTTTGGTTTCTGCTCTGCCCTACACTTTTCACCATGCATTTAGTTTCGTTGGTCTTTGTGGACGCTTTCCAATTTCGTACAATGTTAATATTTACTCAATGATAAGCAACTCGATCCCTTTGTGGTTAATAACAATAAAAACGAGTTGTTGACAACTGCCCAAAACAATTGCAATGTTATAATAATATTTTTCCAATCTACTTTTTTCATGTGCCCTTCAACAAAAACTGTTGCATACTTTTATGCGTTTGATGAAATGCAATCAATACTTGTACCCAAATAAATATATATATATAAATATATACATATGTTTGTATGTATATGGGGCTCTGCTGTTGACATGTGCAGATCTATCGAAGAATAATATAACAAACATCACGGAAAATAACTTTCGCGGCCAGGATAATCTGCATGAATTGGATTTATCAAAAAATAAAATATTGCGCATGGCCAGCTCAACGTTTCGCCATCTGATGGTGAGTACATACATACATATATATGCATATGCAGAGATATACTTTCAGGTGAATTTTTTATTGGTAAAAAACACATGTTTTTATGTCTATATATGTCAAATTATATATGTATAAATATTTCAATGAATTATTAATGCGCAAGCTGAGAACTGTATGGGAAGGGAGCTTGATGTAGCCTAAAAATATACATATTTATATAGTTCTATCTATGTATATGTATATAAATAGCTTCTGCAGTCATTGATTTTTTAAGAAAGAAGATCGATTAAAGATTTCAGTAATGCTAAATCTATCCAATACTTCCCTTCTACAGAAATCTCTCGAAATTCCACGCTACATCTCTCGTGAAAAGTTAGTCTTAGTGCCATTAAGATCTTTTTAGAGATTTTCCGTTCGTTTAATATGCCACGTGCTGAACAAGTACAAATACTAAATCAAATCTTAGTGCAATTTCTGCAAATACTGCATAGTTTTGTCTTTGCTTGTGCGCTAGTTTGTAATAAATATCATGGAATTTTTAATAGCTATCTACAAATAGTGTTGCCTACATTTTGGGGCAAGCGAAAAGTTTTACGTGCTTGAATTTAAGTTGGCTGCAGCAGTTGGGAGCTGCAGCTGTTCGAGTCTGGGCCAGAACCAGAGCCAGAGCCGGAGTCAGGGGCGGAAGTGCCAGTGCACGAAAAGTTGCTGCGTTGTCTTCAATTTGCTTTCGATTTTTGTTTTCCCCGCTGCTGTTGACTTCCTTTTAGCTAGCCGAAAGAGTAACTCTGGGTTCCTCTGCAGCAGCAGCAAAAGCAACAGCAGCAACAGCAGCAGCAGCAACAGCAACGCCGTTTGAAAGTTATCTTTTTCGGCAGTTTCCGGTCCGCAGCGAACCGCTTGCCCGCTCTGATTTATGAATTATTAGCCATGAATTTTGCTTTGATGGCAAGAAGGGAGAAGGGAGAGCCGAGTGGAGGGTCGGGCGCCGGAGCTCTTGTGAAATATTATTAATTTGGTGCGTGACGTAATAAACTTTGGCAATTGCATAACTCTTTGCGGGGCAGGATTTGCGACGTCTTAATTTGGCCGACAACTCAATTGTGGAGCTCGTGCAGCGCAACTTCTTCATGCTGACAAGACTGAAGTACCTGGACCTGAGCGGAAATCCGTTGCAGGATTTACAGCCGGATGTATTTCGCGATGTGCCCGTAAGTAAACACATAACAGTTGCTTCTACGCACTTTCTCACCATCTCTCTCTCTCTCTCTCTCTCTCTCTCTCTCTCTCTCCCACTATCTATCTCCTTCTCTTTGCAGGAACTAAAAGTACTCAAATGCCGCAATTGTCAGCTGAAAAAAATCAATCCGCAGTTGTACAATTTATTGCCACTTTTAAGCGAATTGGATTTGGGTCGCAACGAGGTTCGTCGTCAGCGCGTCTATTCGAAACTTCTCAACCATTTTCCAATTATTTTCCTGTTTTTTTCTTTTTTGTCTTCCTCTTCCCAACTTACAGTTCAAATTCCTTGACAAGGATGAATTTCGCGACGTGAAGCGCCTCACCAAAGTTTTACTCGACGGCAATCAATTGTCTGTGGTCGTGGACCAACTCTTCCGCATGCAGAAAAGTCTTAATCACTTGGGTGCGCCATCGAAATTATAGTCATTTAGCTTCTCGGCAAAACTCACTCAATGCTCCCATTTCCCTAACCGCCCTCCTCTTTTTCGCTCCCTTTCAGATTTATCGTACAATCGGCTGGCCAAAGTGCCGAATGATTCGTTTCTGCAGCTGACCAATCTCACATTTCTGGATCTCTCGTACAATAAGCTGGTGCGTCTGGAGCCGCAGTCTGTGCGGAGTTTGTCCAGCCTGAAGGTTCTGAATATTAGCGGAAATGTTCTAATGGATTTGAGAGATATGCACGAAACTTTTGCGGTGAGTTTGAATTAAAGTATACTTAAATTATTAAATTTATGCTTCCTTTTCCTTGCTCTACTCTAATTTTAATATGCCTAAAAAATTTCCCAGAATTTCTTTTAGTTGAATATGCCATAAATGCAACATTAATTCAATATATTTATTCTTAGATATTGGCAAATTTGCATTGGTTTATTAATTATTTAACATGCAGCTAAAATAAATTATTAATCTTATATTTGCTTCATTATTTCTGGTATTAATTTCAAATTGATTGTAAAACTAATTATGCCTTGCCGTCAAAATGCTGTCTGTCTGTCAAATATTTAAGAAACAGTTAAATCTTTTATATATACACTTTGCTTACATATCCATCAATTTAAACCAAATGGTTTATATACTCCTTTAATTATGATATCTCCAGGCAAACATTTAACAGGCTACCAAATTAATTAATGAAAGCATTCAACGAAATTTATTTGTGTTTGCAAAATTTTGCACTATAATATGCATTGCATTAGCCTTCCATCTCTAAATACCTCTAAAGCTCCATCTGCTTGTCAAATGCTTAATAATCAGTTAAGTACTAACTGCCAATTTCCCGTATTGAAAGTCCATCACCAAAACTTTACCTCAATCTAACCAAAAACTAATTATGCGCTATCAGTTTAAATTTATCTCTCCATCTCCATCGAGTCTCTTCTCTGTCTACCTCTATGTCTACTGCTAAAGCTTGCTTGATAGAGTGAGTGGCAATCCATCAATTAATGCTGAAATTGTATCTTATCTTGTAGATGATACCGGAGCTAACGCACTTGGCCATTGCGGATATGGGCCCGCTGCCAGTGGGCCTGCTATCGCCTTTCCGGCAACTGCGCTATTTGAATATCTCGGGTAATTCATTGGATAACATGGCACTGCAGGTTATCGATCCCTGCCGTGAGCTAGAGGTAAGCTGCCCACTGATTGAATGTGCCAAAAAGCAAGCTATTGTCAAGGCAGTGCTTGCCAAGCAATTGCTGTTTAAGCTATCCCATGCAACCGTAGCATGACTATCCTTCGTTCTGCTTATGCTACGGTTGCTGTTGGTGCTACTCCTGTTGCAACTCCTGCTGCTGCTGCTGCTCCTGCTGCTGCTGCTGCTCCTGCTGCTGCTCCTGCTGCTGCTGTTGGCATTTGTGTATTTATTTGGCTGTTGATAACTTTCTGGCCAATTGCAAAATATTTCAGCAAGCAACCAACGGCTGCATGACAAAATGATATTGCTGCCGGTTGGCAGTTTTCGTTAGCATTTGCCATTTACCATTTACCATTTGCCATTTGCCATTTAACAATTTCTCTTCTTGTTGCACAACTCTGACAACAAGTTAAGCAAAAACGTTCTTGCTTGCCTACGCGGTCGCAATCTGTCCGTCCGTCCGATGTCCTTGTACGTGCTTCCTTCGTGTCACTTTCTATCTGACTCTGTCGCTCTCTCTCTCTCTCTCTCTCCCTCTCTCTCAGTCTCTCTCCATCTCTCTCAACTGTTTGCGTATTGTTTTTATAGTAGCAATATCATGCTCATACCCTGCAAATGTGACAAGTGGGGCATATCAATAAAAAACAATTAAGAGATAGATGTATTTTTCAAATTTAAAGTATTCTCAATTTATTTTACTTTTTATATATACGAAAATATTGCTGATATTATTGATATTTTGAATGTGTTTTTAATACCTTCAAGTATCTATCAGTCGAGCTTTTGGCCTGTTCAAGCCTCCAGCTTGTTGACCATGGTAAATTTACGGCACAACAACAATCAGTTGATAGCCATTAAGCTTTTCATTTTAATTGAATTTAATTGTGAATAGTCGGACAGTTGAGTCAAGCCTTTGGCATTGTTTTTGATGCCATTGTTGTTGTTACACAATGGCAAACGAAAAGTTTTTCAGGGGCAGCAGTTGTAGCTAATTGCAATTTGATAAGCAAATCCCAAAGAGGAAATTCCTCTTTTTTTTTATGCACATTTGAAAACAGTTTTTTATACATTTTTTCTGCTTTTTTTTCTCCTCCAGTTTTTGGACTTATCACGAAATCAATTATACGGCATCAACGCTGACACGGCAATACGAATTCAGGGCATTCGCAATGTGCGCCTGGATAACAATCCGCTCATCTGTGATGAGTGCCACATGGGAAAATTAATAAATGTCGTGCGACAAGTAAGTAATATAAATTTGGACGATATGTATACGCCGCGTAGTCCCTGTGCACAGAAACTTTCAATTAGTTTTCAAAGTACCAACTGATTGATGATGTCGTATATTGATTTAAGCCCGAGCTTGACTTGTATTTTTATGCACTTTCCTCGTTTTCCTGACAGCTGCAATGGCAATGGGACACATATCCCATTTGCTTTCTGCCGAAGAGTTTGCGTGGCGCTCAAATAATTAATTTGGACATTGGCGGACTTCACACGTGCCTTGATTACATCAGCGACGAGGAGCAGAATGCCGCGAGCACTTCATATAACTTTCTTGAGCATGGTGAGTGAGTAAAAGTGTTTGATTTTTAAATGAAATTAAATATTCAATATATGTAGTTGGGAGGGCAATCAATTGGGGGTTCTATTTATACATATTACCATGACTCTGCGCAGGAAATTAATACTTTTTTATTTATTTTGAGCTCAATCACTAATTAAGAATATACAGACAATTTTTTAAATAGGTAGAATAACTAGGTCACGTGGTGAGTTAGTCAAGATATATTTTTTTTTATTTATTAATTTTTTTTTTTTTTTTTTTTTGCGATATCTGATTCTTTACTATGTAGTATTAATCATTTTTAAAGTATTTAACGGCAGAAAATACATATATAAATGTATTTTTCGATAATCTAGTAACACAAATTTTTCGGCTTGATATAATAATTAAACTGAATATTTTGAATATTCGTATTAAAAACTCGTATTAATTTTTTTTTTTAGAGAAATATCGACACAATTCACACATAAGTTAAAGTCAAAGTCTGTTTAGCTGATTTGGCTATCAAATCGGTTAATAATTTATGAAATAATTGCAAATTCATATAATATCTAATAACAAATATGCCTATAATTCCTATGAAATCGTTTTTATTATTTTCTTCACAGGTGGCCTTAATACCTTGGCTATATTGGGTGGCATAATTTTTGTGCTAATTGCCGTTATAATATTATCGCTTGTGGCTTGCTTTTCGAAGAACCGTGCACGCTACTATACCAGAGAGGATCATCTCAATGGCAGTAAGTACAGAGAGTGAAAGCGAAACACAAATTAAAAGCGAACCGACACCAAGTGAAGCCATAGCCCGAGCTTGGCCAGCTGATGTAATACTTAAGTCTAGTTGGGCAGGGCGCCTAGTCTTAGCAAAGGCAGACCCAAACACAAGGCGTCGAAATGAGAAACTGTCTGTTTGCATTAACGACAGCTTACAATTTATGCGCTGCGCTGCGCTGCGCTGCTTTAAAGCGGGCAGTTTCCTTTAGTTTCGTTGCCCTCTGAAAATAATCTTTCTTGCAGCTAACACGTAAAATTTTTGTCGAAATTAAAAAAGCAAGAAGCCGCCGCACTTAATTAATTACAAGTACGTGCTTCATTATGTTCGAGTGCAGCCCTTGCCGCGTTGCCCTTGCCAACTAATTGAGGAATAAATAAATTTCGAGCTGACCTACGTACCTGGAGGCCGGCGTTAATGTTTGCGCACACATAGCCACACACACACGCACACACACACACATACACCTGCCCAACTTGGTTACCTTAGTACAAATTGGCCCTGGGGCCAAGCGTGGTCGTGGCCATTCAGCAGAACGCACTCGAGGGAAACGCAGCTTCCATAGAAAACAAAGTAAACTTCGGAATTTGGCGCAATTGTAGCTGGGTTATCGCTGTGTTTTTTGGCTTCTTTTTTTTTTTTTTTTTTTTGCAAACAATAAAAAATGGTCGCCAAGGCTGTAGCAACAAAAACATTTTGCAACACCGCATTCGATTCCCTCGATAAGCTCAAAAACAGCTGAACAAAAAAAAAAAAAAAACACTCAATTTTTGTTTAAGCACGACAAAAACTCAGAAATTCAAGCGACAAATGCCGCCGGAGTCGAGCTCGCTGCAAATACACTGCATACACTGCATACACTAAAAAAAAAAAAATCATGTCACTCACAATTGCAGCAGCTGCAGCGATGCTCAGAAAGAGTCACAGAGATATGAATTTGAGGAATTTTTATCTTTGGCATACGAATAACACAAGGAGAGTCTGAAGTAATGTTCGCTTGATAGAGAAATGGCAATAGAGCTATGCTTATAATAAGAGAAAAGTTTAGCTTTGGTGTATGAGAAGCAGGCTAGAAAATTAATAAAACTGTTTCACGGGAAGAAATTGCAGCATTATCGATTTGAATCACAAAAGTCCAAAGACCAATGCTCAGAATTTAAGTGAGTTTGTATTTTGGTTATAGGAGTAGCATGATTGATAAATAATGAAGTCGGTTTCATCTCTTACTGAGATGTTTGCCATAATCAAAAAAATAAAAATAAAATCAATGCTCATTTCCATTGTGCACCTAGTTCAAGTAGTTTGGCTTGAGAGACTAGCAATGTATTTATAAAGATATAGACGCTCTATATCAAAATATATTCACATATATTCAACTTGAAAATCTTTAAATATATATTTATATATACTTATTTCTTGCTAATTAAATTCAAACTAACTGTAAATTTAACTAACTAAATGCAAACAAATCACTTGCTGTGGGCAACAAAGTTTTTCAATTAATTTAAAAAATGTGAGTCTGTGGCCGTTGGCTTAGCACGTTTAGAGAGCGAACACTCAAATGCTTGAAGCTCTTTCAACAGAAGTTAAAATAAAGTTAAAATATAATCAAGGATACACTGAAACACTCAGTGAAAGTAATTTAAAAATCAAATAAAATACAAGTAAAAATATTCGTCTGGCAGGAAACTTTTGATCTAACTAAACAAATCAGCTCAACGCAGGTGTTTCTCTTTTATTTCTGTTAAAACTTTCTTCTTGGGAAATGAAACTAAATCATTTAGTTGCAGCTAAAAATTTATTTGTATTTTCAAAATAAACTTATTTAATTTTTGATATTTTAAAGCCATTGAAAATGGAAACTCACCGTAAAATGGGTTCGTTTAAATGTATTATAATTGACAGAGGAAGGCATGGCTTAGCCTATTAAATATATGTTATTGATCAAGATAACAAACTGAATTAGCCGAGCTCTGGATATCTATCCGATCCATAGGTATTAAATCTAGAACGCATTTTGTAGCAATCGCAAAATATTTTCCGTTCTTTTTTTCAACTGCGTTACAATTAATAATTTATAAAATTGCTTTATTAATATTAGAATAAATTGAATGTATTTACTAAAAATATATGATATGCCCAAGAGCTCACTAGGCACTCAAACATTAAATTTCCGACTATATGGAATATGCTTTATAAATATTTTCCTCATAATTAATTATTATGAATTTAATCTACATAGTCAACATTAATCTCCAATATATAATATGTCAGCTTATTACATATGTAAATCCCAATCGCAATCACAACTTATATCACATCTCCTACTCATCCTCGCTCATCTCTATCTATTGCGCTCTTCTCTCAGGCGACAGCAAATGTTTGGAGAAGAACTTGGAGTCGGCTACAATCACAACGCTCGGCAATGGCAGCTCGCCGACGACAACCACCACACTGACGTTGGCCACATCGCCGGCAGCGGGACCAGCAACGAATGGCACAACAACAACAACAACAAATGGTAATACAAATGGCCAAATCCAGAGTCCAGCTAATGGCAGCACGCCTGCACATGCGGCCATCGATGCTGCCGGCAAGGAAATCAACTTTACGTTTCCCATTGACGATCGTGTTTGCACCATCGACGAGCTGGTGCTGCCACCGGCGCCGCCGCCCCCTGCCGTCGCCCAAGTGCACCAGCAGCCGAGCATGGGCAGTCTAATGTACAGCGTCTCGCAGTCGCCGAGCAGCAGCAGCAGCTGTGGCACGGCTACGGCGCGTGCAGCAGCAGCGGCTGCCGCAACGGTCATTCCACCGGGCGCACCGTCGCCAATGCCGATGCCAGTGCCGATGCCGTTGACTGGACCCGCTGACTCTGTGGTTGTGGTGCTGCCACCACCGCCGCCGCTGCCGCAGCAGCAGACGGGCAGCCTGGCCAGCCTGCGCGAGGTGCAGCAGCAGCTGGTGCATTTGAGCAGCACGCTCGAGCCGCTGGTCAGCGTTAACTGACCCAGGGGCTTGGCAGCAACGGCCGCAACGGCCCCAACCGCAGCATCAGCGGGTAAGTTGGCCAGCAAGCAAACGTTGAGCACGACAGCAACGTAAGCCACAGGAGAGTTGGCCCCACTCACAATCCCAGTCGCAGTCGTAGCTGAAGCCAATAGCAGCAACATTTCGTTCACTGCTGGCGTACGGGACGTATAATTAATGACACTGCGCACTGAGCATTGTTTTTGGGGTCGAATTGAAGTAATTAGGATTTGGGTTTGCAATTAAGTTCATTAATCACGGGCGCCCTGACGAAATCGAAGGCAACAACAAATGTGAGCTGAGTTTTGACAGAGCCTGGCGAAAATTTATTAACGAACTAAGCATAAGTTAATTAGGATAAGGATAACAGTAGTTATGTAAAATGCATTTCAGTTTGACGGATTGCGTGGAATTTTCAATAAATAAAGAAAAACATTCTTCTATACATATTGACTGCCATTTTCCGTATAAAGCAAATATTTCAAATATTTGCGAGCGTTTCACTAAGATATTTGTGGTTTGGTTTTAACAATTGATTTTTTTTCTAAATATATTTATATACATATATATATATATATATATAAATGTGAAACTCAGCATCTGTGTGTATATAAAAATAAAATACATTTAATAAATAAAACAAAATTAGACAAAGGCAGCAGAAACACATTTCACATGTGATAAATTACATTTTGTACATAAAATAAAAATAAAAAAGCTACTTGGAATTTCATAAAGTAGAGACAAAATACTGAAAGTAAATATTGTATATTTGGCAAAATAAATAAGAAAGAAAGAAAAAAAAACTAATCTGATCAGCTGCCATTTTAGGCTAAAAACAAAAACAAAAAAAATGAGCAAAAATTATTAACTTAAGTCTTAAGCATATAAAGTTAGCACGTAGCTAGTTACATAGATTTTAAACACATATATATTTAAATCACTTAAGAAACTAAAATAATATTTATTGTTAAGACAGATAAAAAGAAAAAATAACAATCATTTAAATGTTCACAACCGAGACCCAACCAGTAAACCCAAACGATTTCAGTTTATTTTATAAAAGCGCAGCAAAATAATTATACATTTAAGTGAATTTAATTTAATTTTAACGACAGCTAAAATTTCATTTATGTTAAACAAGTTCAAACACTAAATCCGTAATAAAGTGTGACAGTTTATGGAAAATACTAAACAACAGTATCTACTAAATCTTTTATTGATTGCAAAACTATTTGTTGTAGCTACGTGTCGCACTTACCGCAAGCGAAACCCCAACGCAAATCGTTTTTAGAAGAAACCAAATGAAAATAATAGGAAAGCCAGAATCCAACCAACAGCAGCAGCAGCAGGCGGCAGCATCTAACCGATGGGGACAATGCGAATCAGCGCTAAAATTTATTTTTAAAAAAATGCGGCACTTGCAACGCTTTGCGGTTGCTTGGCTCCACTTGTCTGCCACCCATTGTGGCAACTAGAATTATGCTTGTAACATGTGCTACTGCTGCTCCTGCTGCCGCTGTTGGCTTGCCCCCAAGTGTGTGAGACCACAAGAGCCGCCATTTGAGCTCAACGCAAATGAAAATTGCTTCCGTTTCCGTTTTGCGACACACTTCCGTTGACATTGGATTTTGCTATTGTTGCTGATTGCGAACGGCTTGGGCTTTGATTTACTCCACACAGATGCATTGATGCTCTCTGCTTTTTATAATACTTAAACGGATCAGAGTTTAAATCGTCTGCAGCCATTTGTTTTGAGCAGCCATGAATCTAGCAGAGAACGGACAACGTCTCGTTCCACTCTGAGTTCCTTTCTATTGCACTTGAGTGGCTGACGAACATTTGAATTTATGCATGAATATTGTAGGAGCAGGAAGTCAATGGTGCTTGCTTTCGAGTTTTGTTGCTGCATTGAAAATGCATTCGAAATTGGTGTGGAGCATCGAGAGTTGCAGCAGCAGCAGCAGCAGCAGCAGCAGCAGCCACTCAAGTGGACATGCAAATGGAGCATGTGGCTGCAGATCGCTCGAGAGTGCGCATCAATATTGGTGCACTTGACACTTGACGAGGTCCGAGAGGCTGAAGCTGCCGGCACTGATTAACATGCACTCCTTGATCAAATTGCTGGCCAACTGAATTAAAAACCAAAAAACATGGCACAGAGAGTCGACATATGGGAAATATGGGAATTGCGGATATGCAGCAGAGTATGGCAAGCTCAGTTTAAAGCCAAGAATATATAAAAATCGAAAAATAGCTTACAACATGCACTTACAAGCAATTGATGAAGACGCTGCCAGCTTGTCTCACAGCTGCTCCCATCCAATTGGCTGGCAAAAGGAGGCGAAGCCAGCTGTGAGCAGCTGCCAGTTGCTGCACCTTGGCTTTCTGTGCATGCCTGTCAAGCATATAAAATCTACTCGAGCTGGCAGCTACTCTAGCTTGTGTTTTCCTCTTACTTTTATATCTTTTTTTTTTTTTTTTTTTTAGTTTTAGGTGCAACAATTGCGGCTGGATGTGTAAATTTAATCAGGCAACGTACTCAAGTATGCTTTGGCTGCTCGGCTTGAATCTCTTAAATTTAATTAAATATATGCGCTTTTAGGCAAGGTAAGACTGCTTTAACTGAAGTGAGATAATATTTGATTGAGTCAACACCAGTTGCATTGCATAACGAAAAGCTATCACAAATATTAAGTATACGCAGTGGTAAGCCTTACGCTGACTGAAATGATTGCCTTTTGTTCTACCACAAATATTCACACTAAATGACAGCAAATTGAGGCTTAACGCGCCTGAGCTTAGTTCTTTTGTGTATTATTTGCATCTTTACTAAATAATATGTATAAAATTTTATTTATATAGTTCTCATTTTTCTGACATCTACTCAAATTATTTTCATATCTTTCACTATCTCTTCTCAAGGTAATAATCACATGCATTAGCCGCCCAATCGATACGCCTGATTAATCAAAGTGCAGAGGCAAAGTATACGGACCTAATTGACAGTTGCCGCTGCTGCTTAGCCAATATACGCACAGTGAAAGCTTCAAGTATAACACTCAGCTGGTGCCATCAATCAGGCTGTCAGGCAACTATTAACCCTTACATATTGCGGCATGACAAATCGCTTCTGACATGCCCAAAGGCATGACGGACATCGTCGACAGTTTCAGAGTTTCAGCCACAGTTACGTTTACAGTTACAGTTACAGCTAAGGCTCCTTAATGCCAGGACACGCATTTGTCAGCACTAATTGTTTTCCAAAGCATTTGTAAAACTTGCCAAGGGCTAAAACAAAAAGCGAACAAAGCTTGTTAGCAGCACAGCTCGGGCAAATGCGTGAGAAAACATAAAGTAAAAACTTTCAGAGCCCAAAAAAGAAAGCAACTTGAAAAAAAAAAGAAAAAAAATCTAGGAGTGAGGCAAAGATTTGCATTTGCGCTTCGAACACTAAGCTATGTCACACAATGATATTTAGTGGGCCAGTCAGTAGCTGCAGCAGAGCAGTCAGCTCAAGTTTCCTGCTCACACACAAAAATATGAAATCAGAAATCCTTTTTGTGGCCTGTGTACGCTGCATCGCTCGGCAGCAGCAAAGTGTAATGCAAAACTGTGCCACAAATATTGCGGCACTGCACGTTGACAGTTGCCCCAAGGCGCACCACAGCAGGCGTCTGCCAGCGTTAGGTGTGAATGGAAAATGAAAGCAGAAAGAAAAAAGCAAGCAAAATGCATAGACAGGTGATTGCTTGACGTAGAGATGACCTGTAGATGGAGAAATTGTATGAGAAAATGTGTAATATGTAGATCATTGAGTGAAATGAGATCTATATAATTAGAGTTTAGCTAGACATTACCGTATTTGATTCAAAAACTTCCTTTAAAAGCTTCTAAGTTTATATAAAATATATATATACTGCATCTTGTTTGATTTCTATTGCTATATAATAATCAATAGATAGCCTGCTTGCTTGACTTAAAAATAGGTAGATAAAGGTTTAAAATGTAATTGAATTAGCATTAACATGAGCAAACATGTAATATGAATGTTACAAAAGTGAAGAGATATGTGAGTGTTAGAGCTTATATATTGTAGATACTTAAATATATTTGTGGATTTATATTTAAATATGTTTCGTATGTACATATAACAGGGAATGCTGATTCCACAGTCGCAGCAGAAACTGAATTAATTCCTGAAGACGAAGCTCAATTTGCAACTTTAGACTTTTACGTTCACACACAAAAAGAAGAACTATTCGCTTCTGATTTCGATTTAAAAATGCTCTTATTCAACATTTGCTCAGCTGTAATAAGCGAGCACAGAAACAGCGATCACAGGGTGAACGACCAGTAGGAGCATGTCCACAGGGCAAGACGAGCACAAGCAGAACAATACTCTTGCTTTGACAAGTTTTGACAAATCTCTTAAAAATGGAACTGATACTCTGATGATATATAATAACTGCTTATTACCATATAATACATTCTAATTTATTAATTTAGTTATTTATTTTATTTTTATTTTTTTTATTTATTTATTTATTTATTTATTTATTTTTTTTTTTTTTTTGCAGCGTGCATACGAACCACAAGGAAACAAAAAATTGAGCTAAATTTAAAATTATTTAATTTGTTTAGTATATACTATGTCCAAATATTTAGTCCATCATTTCCCACACATTTTTCATTTATAGAGAAACCCTATACAAAATCTAACTGCATCACAGCCTTTGCGTCAAAAAATGTAGGCTTGCGTGTCTGAGCCAATTGTCGAGCTAACAGTTAACAGGCGTGACTTTAAAAAGGATTGCCAATTGCCCTGAGAGATAACTCAAATTGTTAGCTTTAAGGCCTAACTGTTTGCTAATAGTTATAAAGGGACACACACACTCAAGCAAATGCTGTTTTGGCTAAATGAGCTGCCCATTTTGTTGGTAAATCGTCAGCAATATATATATATATAAGCCCGAAAATCTTTCGCACCTAAAATAGACCCCTGGGTGTCGTCGAAAACTTTTCAAAATGCATAATTTTTTTTTTTTTTTATGAGTGGCGCAAGTTTTAGCAGCGGTTTTTGGTTCTCGGTTTTTGGTTTTAGGCTTTGGGGTTTTTGGCAAACCAATTGCCTGGCGACTGCAACGGCAAAGTTTCAATCATATTTGGCCGACACGTACAACATAATTATTACCTAAGCGCCGGACTAATTTTGATGGTGGCTATGAAAAGTTTTCGGGCAACTTTCAGCGATTGGGCTGCCATAATCACGGCGCTAAAGACAAAGCATAAATCTATGCGAATTAGGTAGCTGGCACTGCCACCAGGCACACGGGCCACCGGGCACACGGTCGCACGGTCGCAGGCATAAATATACAATATCAGGCCATATATATCTGGCGAGTCATACGCCATAGACATGCCCACATTTCCTGCGGCTGTTTAACGCCCCGGCACAAACAGCATCATCAGCCTGGAGCATCATTTCCCGCAATTCCCGCTGCGGCCGGCTTCAGATTTATGATGAGGCAAAGTCGCGCGCGTGTGTGACTCCATTAAATGTGTTAATAGGATAATGTCGTCGAGGATAGAACGTAAAAAAAGCCATATAAAAAATATGCCTTGCGTATCTTAAATATATATACAAATATATATGTATGTATAAAATACGTATATATATTCCAGTGCTCCCTGCGGTTAAAATGTAAATTTAAAAAAAGCCAAAAAAAAAAAAAAAAACAAAAAAAACCCAAAAAAAAAAAAAAAAAAGAAACACAAGCCAACTAAGTGAGTCTAAGCATTACTAAGCTAAGCAGCTACTCAAAACTTTGCGTACATTCAAAAAATAAATTTCCAAGCAGATTTCTTCAGCAAATTTGTTTCTAAATTATTTGTTTAGCACTAAATAAATTAAATATTAAACAATAAAAATAAATTTTAAAAAACTTTAAAAATATGTAAATAAATAAATATTATAAAATGAATTATATGAATTGATTATATGAATGAATGAATGAATTAAAATAAAAATAATAAAAAATGCATGCTTAAAAATATAAATAGATGAAAATAAAATATTGTACATAAAATAAATAAATTTAATAATATTTCTTCAAAATTTAATGTAGTTTTAGTTTTTCACATAGTCTCAAATAAAACTTTACTGTAATTTAAGTTACTTTTTTAGAAACAACAACAATC